CTCACAGTTTAGGAGGCTAGAAGTCTGAATTCAGGGTACGAGCTCTAGGGGAAAGCTGTCGACTCAGAAGGAAGGTCCTTGTCTCTTCTGAGCTTCTACATCTGGGCGATCTTCATGTGGCTTGCTATCTCTCTTCCCCTGTCTCTACTTGCCAGCTTTTATATCTCAAAAGAGATTGACTCAAGATACACCCTATACTAATCCTGCCTCATTAGCATGACAAAGACAGCCCATTCCCAAAAGGGATTATAACCACAGACACAGAGGTTAGGATTTACAACACATATTTTTGGGGACACAGTTCAATCCATAACATCCACCCTTTGGCCCCCCAATATTCATGTCTCTCCCATATGCAAAACACATTCACCCCACGACATCATCTCCAAAGTCTTAAATCAACTCCAAGTCCAAAATCTCATCTTTTGAAGCATCTAAATCAAATATGTGTGAGATTTTAGGCATATACCATCCTGGGGCAAAATTTCTCTTCATCTGTGAACTTGTGAAATCTAGAATATAAATTCTCTGCTTCCAAAGCACAATGGTAGAACAGGCACAAGGTAGACGTTTACATTACAAATGGTAGATATTGGCGGGAAAAAAGGGATAACAGGCACCAAACCAAACCAAACCCATTGCAGTCGAGTCGATTGCAACTCACAGCGACCCTACAGGACAGAAGAGAACTGCCCTGTAGGGTTTCCACGTAGCATCTGGTGGATTCCAACTGCTGACCTTTTGGTTAGCAGCTGTAGCTCTTAGCTACTGCGCCACCAGGGCTCCTAACAGGCACTGCGCAAGCCCAAAACCCAGCAGAACAAATTACATTAGCTCCCAAGGCTTGAAAATAATCCTTTCTTCTCTGAGACCATCTGGGCCAACCCAACGGCAATGGGGAAACATGAGGTAAGGAGCCCTGATGGCGCAGTGGTTAAGTACTCAGCTGGTATCTAGAAGGTCGGCAGTTCAAACCCACCCCCCTGCTCCACGGGAGAAAGACCTGCCGATCTGCTTCTGTAAAGATTATAGCCTAAAAACCCTATGGGGCCGTTCTGCCATCACATGGGGGCCGCTATGAGTAGGAATCGACTCAACAACAACAACCACGTGAGGTGCTCTCTGTTAACACGGAGCCTTTGCACAGTTCTTACTCTCCTGGAGCTCTCTTCTTCCTCCTTTTTCCTGGAAACTTCCTATTGATCCTTCAGGTCTTGTCTTAGACAAAACATCCTCTGCAAAGTCTTCTGCTCTGGGCTCACTGAGTACCTTGTCCTATTGGGACTGCCTGTTTATTTCTGCCTCCTCCAACAGAGTGTAAGTTTATTGAAAGCACAGAATGATTATTCTTCATATAGAACTGGAAAATCATAATAAATATATTTGAGTACATGAATGAACAAATAAAATTCAGTTTGGGACATGTTGAGTTGAGATATTAGTGGGACACAAAAGGAGAAAGCATCTGGTAGAGCAGTGATGTGTTTATAAATGTTTATCAGATAAATAGTTCTTGTGGGGAAAGCCCTTATCTGTAGTATTTGCTCATTTCCATGACTCCCACCAGGCTAATTTCAGACTACCAATGTGATGGCACTGAATGTAGAGCTGGGGGGAGATGTGAACAATTGGCTAATAGAAGTCAGTGTGAGCTGGCTCCAGCACACCACTGCCTGTAGGATGTGGGCTGATGAGATAGGCTTGGTGGTCAGCTCAGAGTGATGGTCACTGGAGCCAGGGGAGCAACAAGATGATCCAAGGAGTTGGTCACGGTCAAAAGAAGAGATCAAAGACAGAATCTTAGGGAACACCAACATTCACATGGCAGTAGAAAAGGAGGCTCTTGTGAAGGAGAAGGGTAGGAAGACCTGAAAGAAAAAGGCCAGTGCAGTGTCATGGAAGCCAGAGAGTAAGAATTTTCAAGAAGATCCCTGTTGTCAGATACAGCAGAGAAGTTCAGTAATGTAAGGCATAGGAGGCGTCTGTGTGTTTCAAAGGTAAGTTATTGTTACTTAACCGGAGTGGTGAAGACAGCAGCCAGGGTGTAGAGAGTAAATGTTTGCGAAGAGAGAATGTACATGGCCAGAGGGGCTGGCATTTTGGGTGCTTTATTAGTTATTACTAATACTAGAGTCCCTGGGTGGCGCAAATGGTTGTCAAGTGCTCGACTACAAGCCAAAATTTGGTGGTTCAAACCCACCCAGAGGCGCCTTGGAAAACAGGCCTGGCCTTCTGCTTCCGAAAGGTCACAGCCTTGAAAACCCTATGGAGCACAGCTCTACTCTGCACACATCGCGTTGCCATGAGTCGGAGTTGACTCGATGGCAACGAACAACAACATTAGTTACCACAGTGTTGGCACATTGGTGGCACAACGTTTAAGTGCTCAGCTGCTAACCAAAAGATTGGTGGTTCGAACCAACCCAGCAGCTCTGCAGGAGAAAGACCTGGCAATCTGCTCCCATAAAGATTACAGCTTAGAAAACCCTATGGGGCAGTTCTGCTCTGTCACATGGGATCGCTGTGAGTTGGAATTCACTTGACGGCACACAACAACAAGATTAGTTATCTGTTGCTGGGTAACAATTTACCCTCAAAACTTGGTAGCTTTAAACAATAAACATTGTATCAAAGCTTCTATGATTCGGGAATGCAGGAGAAGCTTAGTTGGGTGGTTGGTCTGGCTTCAGGTCTCTCATGAAGTTACAGTCAAAATGTCTACTAGGGCTGCAGTCATCTGAAGGCTTGACTGGGGCTGGAAGACCTGCTTCCAAGAGAAGCCACTCACCTGGCTGGCAAGTTGGTGCTGGCTGTTGGCAGGAGGTCTCTTCCTCCCATGGACTTCTCCCTAGGATTGCTGGAGTGTCCTCACAATATTTTTAAATGGGGTTGTTAGTCAGCTGGCTTTTCTTAGAAGTAACTCAAGAGACGACATGGTAGAAGCTGCAAATGTCTTTCTGACCTAGCCTTGACAGACATGCACCATCAGTTCTGTGGCATTCTGTTGGTCACCCAGATCAGTCATGACTCAGTGGAGGCAAGGATGACACAAAGGCATAAATAGCAGAAGGAAAGAGTTATTGGGGGACCGTCTTGGAGGGGACCAGACATGGCAGGGTTGTGAAACCTGCTGGGGTTAACTGGCCTCAGAGTTAAACAGAACTCTGATAGAGATTTACTTCATGGATCACAGGTATCTTTGGGTTCCCAGGCAGACTTGTTTGCCAGGCCCCCAGACTTTGAGGTCAGTGCAGGAAGAGGCCTAGCAATGTGGAGAATTTTTTTCTGAGGACCATAGGCCAACATGGGCTGAGGCCTAACATGCAGCCTCATTATTGAGTCCATCTCAGACACAGATCCCCCTCTTGGAAGGTGCAGAATGATTGGACCTGGAAACCTGTGTAACCAGGTGGAAAAAGCCCTGTGATCAGAATGTTAAGAAGTGTGTTGACTTGATTCAGTGTATGCAATGGTCAGAGTTTACCTCTTCCTACCTCTAAGAGGCTCTATCTTTTCCAATAGCAAAATATACAGTTTGGGGGAAATGTTTTCACTTTCCAAGTTTTGTGTGTTATAAATTTATAAGGCCTTATAATGCCTCTTACAAAGCCTGAAGATCTGAATCCAATCTGTGGAAACAACTAGAATTTTCTAATCACCTGTTAGGAAATTTTCTGCTGTTGCCACCTTGTGGTCATTTGAGTAATAACAGCTAGAGCATTGACTTCAGTCCAGCAAATCAATCACCAGGTAGTGCAGGAGTTCCTCCTACACATCTGTCCAGTGGTCTTCTGGATTCTGAGTGAACACTTCCAATGGCAAGGGGCTAAATACTTTGCAAGGCATTCTATACCTTTGTTGTAAATTTTTCATTACTAGAAATTTCTTTCTGATACTGGGCTATATTCTGCCTTGGTCTAATTTCTATCTAATATGTCCTTCTTTTTCTATTTCTAATTTTTTAAATATTTGAAGTTGACTGCTTATCACATTGAAGCCCTTGTGGCACAGTGGTTAGCAACTACAGCAAGCTACAGCTGCAAACTGAAAGGTCGGCAGTTCAAATCCACCAGCCGCTCCTTGGAAACCCTATGGAGTAGTTCTACTCTGTCCTATAGCACTGCTATGAGTCAGAATCAACTTGACAGCAATGGGGTGGTTGTTTTTGATTATCGTATTCCTCCAAATTTTTTTTCCTAAACTAAATATTTCAACATCTTCATCTCTCCTTAAATTATACGATCCCCAGAGCCCTCATCATCCTGTGGTCCTCTCTCAGGTCAGGTGCCCTAGCAACAGTCTGAGACAGAGATTCTGGTGCAAGTGATTTATTGGGGGAGAGCTCTCAGGAGAAACCTATCAAGGAATGAGGGAAGCAGGGTAGGGCAGGGGATGGAGCTAAGCAAGGACTTGGTCCTGGCTGTAGACTAGCCTCAACCTGATCCCACAGGGAGCTCTGGAGCTTGAGTGGCCCCACAAAGAAGTCCCACCTTGAGGCAAGGGCTTTGACCTTTTGTGTCCCATGTCACTCAGTTATTGGCTCTGGTCCACCCTGAGGGTGAGGGGTAACCTCCCTAAGTGAAGTGAAGTGGTTCCTATCTGGGAAAGGGCAAGTCTCAGGTGCAGGGTCTAGCTTTGAGCTGTTAGCAGTCAACACCAACAGCAGTTGGAAGATGGGAGCCCCAGAAAGGGGATCTGGGCAAAGGATCCTTCTTTCTATACCTTCTGCTAATGTCCCACCCCAATGGTTATGCCCAGATCAGGACCCAAATAGTCTAGATGTGGTCTGACTTGGGTAGAATTCAAGGGGACCATTGAATCTCATTCTTGTTTTAGCACACCAAAAAATGAAACTAAAACCTGTTGCTGTCAAGTCAATTCTACCTCATAGTGACCCTGTAGGACAGAGTAGAACTGCCCCATAGGGTTTCCAAAGAGCAGCTGGTGGATTTGAACTGCCGACCTTTTGGTTAGCAACCAAGCTCCTAACCACTGCACCACCAGGGCTCCTCCTTTAACCATAGCCCAGGATTAGTAGTCTAGGCTTACACTGGAGTTGTGCTAAACTGAACCCCAAGATATATTTCACATAAAATTGTTCTCAAGCCAAGTGTCTTTCATCACTGCTTATGGTACAATGATACCAAAGGTGGGAGCACTTTTATTCCTTTAAAATTCCGTGTTGCTCTTTGGGGCTCACATTCCAGCCAGCTGAGTTCTCTTTGAATCCAGACCTGTTGTCTAATCCAGCACTCTCTGCTTCATTATCTACAGACTGGACAAGTGTATCTTTTCGGTGACTTTCGACTTCCTTGTCTGTTCTTGATACCTGATAGCTGGTCATCCCTTAATATCTTGCCCTTCTGAGGTCTGGCTCACTGGCCCTGCCTGACTGTTTCTGTTCTGTTGCTGTCCTGCTTCAACACCATAGAGGGAATCTTGGTTAAAAATGGCCAGGAGCAGGCCTGAGGCCAGGGCTCTAGAGTCAGCCAGTGTTCAACAGAAACAAGAGTCTGGGATAAGTAGGCAGTCTAGAACACAGGTGGTTAAGTAGGCAATGTTAGAGGACTAATATTGTAAACTCAAGAATACCAGCACAGTAGCCCTGAGCCTTCCAGTGGCTTGGCAGGGGACAGGGAGGTGCCTGAGAATATTTTAGGGAATATACTTAACCAATGAGTTGGAGAGTAGAGTATGACAGGCTTGAACTTTATAGTTTGTAGAGAATTATCCCCCACTGTTGTCCTCATCCATCTTCCAGGATAATGTCCTCCATGTATCCAACTGCAGCATCGCTTTCCACATCAGACCCAGAGGAGGTGGGCATGACAATGCTGTCTCCATCTGCCATCCATCAGCCCCAGTACTAACACATGGAATGGGCCCTGGGGCAGGGGAGCTCACCTCCTCATCTCTAACCCTGACTGAAGTATTGGGCACAGTCTCTTCTCCCCATGTCTCCATCAGCAGAAGCAACCGTCTCTGTCAACAGGTGTCTTAGGCTGGGTTCTCTAGAGAAGCAAAACCAGTTAAGCGTATAAATATATATAGAGAGATTTATATAAAGGAAACAGCTCATGCTAAAACGTCCCAAGTCTGTGGATCAGGGTAGAGGCTTCTCCCAATTCACGCAGCCACATAAGCTGGTGAATCCAAGGTTGGCAGGTCGGAGAGCAGCGCTCCTGCTCACAGGCTGTGAAGGTCAACGAATTCCAGGACCAGCAGACAAGACCACAAGGTTTCTCCTGATTCATGTAGCTGCAGGGGCTGGCGAACCCAAGATCGGCAGGTTGGAGAACAAGACTCTTGCTCACAGGCGGTGAAGATCAATGAATTCCAAGATCAACAGGTAAGCGGCTAGCTCAGGTCCCAAGAACCAGAGGTGAGACGGCAAGAGGCAGCTGCTGAGTCTGGAACAAGCCAAAAACCTTGGCAAGGCAAGCAGGCAGGCAGTAACCGGCGGAAGGCAGAGAGATGAAACTGAGGGGGAGGTGAGCTGCCACAGGCTCTGCCCCCACCAGTACCACTCAACAGATTCCATCATGGGGGTGATCACATATCAGATTTCAACAGGGAGGTGATCACAACATTTATACAACTGCTAAAACACTAAGAATCATGGCCTAGCCAAGTTGACACAATCATCTTAACCATCACAGCAGGCCTGCAAGCGTATGCCTCTCTGCTCAGCCTTGTCTGGAACTGCAGGCCCCTTCTCCCAAAACGTGATGAATAGAAAGGCTCCTGACACAGGGAACAGCCAGCCATGAAAGGCAGATCAGTTAGGAAGGCCAGGCACCACCTACAAGCACCTCCTGGACCTCAGAGGTATTGGTCTCCCACCCACCCTTTGGGAAACAGTGACTTGCATCATATATTCTGGAGTGCACAACTGTCTAATTATTCCATGGTAACTCAGTCCTCTCAACCTCTCAGTAACTTGCAGATTAAAGACCCAAAGACCTGGAAGCCAGAGAGACTACCCAGTGGAAACCACAGTAGAAACTTATTACATTCATCACCTCTGGACCATGAAGTCAATTTCTTTTCCAGTTAAAGCCATGGAACTTTATGTCTGACAAATCCTCTCCATGTGTTACTCTGTGCACCAGATTCAGTGGTTTTTACTTGACTGGGTTCTCTTTACAAAGCAACCTAAACAAATTGGGGTTATGACATCAAAGCAGAGATTTCAGGGGTGAAAGTCAACCCAGCATTGCATGTACTCCCTGCAATGCAGGCCCCTTCACAGATCACAAGGCAAATTCCATACTGGGATGACTCAACCTGGACGCTTGACCAGGCTGCTAACCAAAAGGTCAGCAGCTCAAATCCACCAGCCACTCCTTGGAAACCCTATGGGGCAATTCTACTCTGTCCTGTGGGGTTGCTATGAGTCGGAATCGATTGAACAGCACTGGGTTATATCTGTCCACATTTTTTTTTTTAAATAGGCAAAAGCATTTGAGTTCCCAAAGGGCACAGTGAAAAGCAAGTCCCCTTCTTAATTTGCCCAGGGCCGGTTCTTTCTCCAGGAGTAATGCTGTTACCAGTTTCTTGTGCATCCTTGGCCATAGCTGTCTTTCAAAGCATATGTCAGTTGTGATACTTGAGTGCTACATTCCTAATTTCCTTGCAATAGTGTGCTAGCCATATTTTTAAAAAATATTTGTTACTTTCATGCCAATTGCCTTCCTTTGGGTTTCCTCCCAAGTAGAGCCCGGATCCAGGATGTGGGTCCAGGCAGTTCACTAAGGAGGGGAGTTCACGAGGAGCGGAGATGCTGAGACAGAGAACGGGGAAAAACTAAGACGGGAACGTCTTTACATTGTGCTCTTTCAAGATCTGTCTATATGGGATCAAACTGACAACAGCAACTCAAAAGATTAGATAGGAATCTTAGGGGGCAGTGAGTTTATGTTAATGGGGGAGGAATAGCTCAGAAAAAGAGGGTGAGAATAATTGCACAACTTCAAGAATGTAATCAATGGTGCTGAATTGTACATGGAGAAACTGTTGACTTGGTGTATGTTTTGCTGTGTATGTTCTCAACAGCAACAAAATAAATAAATGTTTTAAAAAGAAAAAGAAAGATTTTGCTTTGGACATACTAGTTTGAAATATTTATTAGACATCCAGTAGAGAAGTTAAGCAGGCAGCTGGCCAAAAGAGTCAAATTATTCACAGTCAAAAATGAAAGTGATCACTGTTTGGTTTCTCAGGCAACAAGTCCCTCCTCTGACATTGCGTCTGCCACTTCCTAGGCTTTCTTTTCCTTGGCGATGCATGTTAGTTAACTGGAGAGACCCCATTTAGAGTCCAGAAGATAAACAGCTACCCTTTGCTGTGGGTGGCAGCTGCCTTCCAGATGTCAAAATCACCCCTGAGATCTTCTATTACGTTGAAAATGGTCCCAGATGCTGCTTTCCACAAGCTTCACACTGAAGTCTTCTTACATTTTTTTTTCAATCTATGATTAGCCCAAAAAGTAGAAGCCATTGTTATACTCATTAACTTTTCATCAAGTTCTGTAACAGGAATCTGGGATTCAGCAGGTGGAGCTGAAAGCCGCATTAATAATGGACGTTAAATGCACTTGGTAGGTGCTCTTGTCTTCTTAACGCCACCGAGTGTCAGCAGTGAGTGGCGTACTTGGGGCAACACGGTCACATAGCGCGTCCCTTTCGCTGGGAGATTGGGGACCAAAAGACTAGAGGTGAATCATTAGCTCTCAGCTAAGTTAGTGGTTCTCCAGCATTTAATAAAAAAAAAAAAAGAAACAGTTGCCATCGAGTTGATTCTGACTCATGAAGACCCCCTGTGTGTCAGAGTAGAACTATGCTCCATAGGGTTTTCAGTGGTGGATTTTTCAAAAGTAGATGTCCAGGTCTTTCTTCCAAGGCAACTCTGGGGGCACTTGAACCTTCAGCCTGTGGTTAGCAGCAGAGTGTGTTAACCGTTTCCACCACCCAGGGACTCCTCTGCAGCATTAGTGAGCAGAAAAGCCATCTGAGGATGATTCAAACTCTGTAGGATGCTTTCTTCCTTCTCTCCTTCCCTTCCTCCTGACAAATATCTGTTAAGCTCATGCCATGTGTCGGACAATGTGTTAGGCCTAGGAATCTGTGTTTTAACAAGCCGTCTAAGTGATTTTGATGTAGGTGGTTCACATAACACATTGTAGGAAAAGCTGCCCTAAAGAAATCTGAAACCAATGTTGTGGCTGGCTCTCTAACATGCATTTTATTTTGTGTGCCCACCCATACACACATAGATGCTATATTGTGTTTCGGTATCCACCCTTCTCTGCTTAGCAGATGAGCTTTGGGGAGGCTGGCCACAGACACAGTGGGCATGTCCTGATTGTTCTAAGGCACGATTGGTTCTCCCATTCCCTTTTGAGGGATTGGTTTAGGCATGGCCATGTGATGCAGTTCTGGCCAAAGAGGTTGAGGGGAAGTCTGCAGAAGGCTTCTGGGAAGGATTTTCTTGCTCTTAATAAAAGACACACAGGAAAAGATGGTCTTTTTTTCTTCTGGACTTGGCTGTGTTCATATGTGAGGGCTGGCACTGGGGCAGCTGCCTCTTAACAATGACAAGGAGGGTAGCCCAAAAGTAAAACCTGCCCACCTGGTGACAGAGCAGCATGACAGAAAGAACTTGGTCCTTGGGGATGTAATTGAGCTGCTGGATTATCCAACCCTGGAGCTGTCCTATCTCTGGACTTTCAGGCGTAGGACGATAAGTGTACTTGTTGTTTAAGCTGGTTGATTTTGGAATGTCTTTATACTTTCTGCTAAAAACATTCTGACTGGTATTGAATTAATATACGCACTTTTGACTCAGGGTTTAAGCTGTCTGTAATTTACTATTAAATAATTGTAATGTAAGTCTCAGGGTGGTGCCCTAGAAGCAGAGCCTGAGATAAGGGTTCAAGTGCATGTGATTTATTGAGGCAGTGCTCTCAGGACAAACTAGTAAAGGAAGGAGGAAGTGAAGTAGGATACGAAAAAGGGAAACGATAAGCAAGGATGTGGTCTCAAGTAAAGTCTAACCTTGGCCTGATCCATGGGAAGTTCTGGAGCTATGCTGTCCAGTATGATAGCTACTAGCCACATGTTGTGGCTATTTAAATTTAAATTAATATTAACTGAAATTTAAAAATTCAGTTCCTAGAATGAAATTGGACCCATACCTCACACCATACACAAAAATTAATTCAAAATGGATTGATGACCTAAATATAAGAGCTAAAACCATAAAACTCTTAGAAGAAAATATAGGGATAAAGCTTCAGGACCTTCTTTTAGGAAATGAATTCTTAGATATGACACCAAACGCATGAGCAACAAGAGAAAAAATAGATAAACTGGACTTAATCAAAATTAAAAACTTTTGTGCATTAAGGGACATTATCAAGAAAGTGAAAAGACAACCTACAATGTCTACCTACTATGGGAAAAAATATTTGGGAACCATATATCTGATAAAGGTTTAATATCCGTAATATATAAAGAATTTCTACAGCTCAACAACAAAAAAGACTAACAACCTGATTTAGAATGAGCAAGGGACTTGAACAGTTGTTTCTCCAAAGAAGATGTAAAAATGGCCAATAAGCCCATGAAAAGATGCTCAACATTATTAGTCATATATGGAAATGCAAATCAAAACCACAATGAGATACCACTTCACACTAACTAGAATGACTATTATCAAAAATACAGAAAATAGTAAGTATTGACAAGGATGTAGAGAAATTGAAACACCAGTACATTGCTGGCGAAAATGCAAAATGGTGCAGCTGCTATGGAAAACAGTTTGGCAGTTCCTTAAAAAGTTAAGCAAAGAATTACCATGTGACCAAGAAATTCCACTCGTAGGTATATACCCCTAAAACTTGAAAGCAGAGACTCAAACAGACAAATGTACATCCAGTGTTAATTGCAGCATTTTTCACAATCGCCAAAAGGTGGAAACAACCCAACTGCCCATCAACAGATGAATGGATAAAGAAAATGTGGTATATATGTACCAAAAAAACCAAACCCATTGCTGTCTAGTCGATTGCGACTCATAGTGACCCTATAGAACAGAGACGAACTGCCCCACAGAGTTTCCAAGGAATGCCTGGTGGATTCGAACTGCCAACCTTTTGTAGCACTTAATCACTATGCCACCAGGGTTTCCAATATATGTACAACGAAGTATTATTCAGCCATAAAGAGAAATGGAGTTCTGATACATGCCACCACATAGATGAACCTTGAAAACAATACGCTCAGTGAAATAAGTCAGATACAAGAGAAAAATATTATATCAGCCCACATATCTGAAATATCTACGCAAATCTATCGAGACAAAAGAAGATTAGTGGTTACCAGGGGCTTGGGGGATGGGGAATGGGAAGTTAAAAAATACTCAGTTCTTTAGCCACATGTCAAGTGTCTTGGGCAAATCTGCTGCAAAAGACCTCTTTAAAGTGTTAAAAAGCAAAGATGTCAGTTTGAGGACTAAGGTGCCCCTGACCCCAGTCACGGTATTTTCAATTGCCTCATATGTATGTGAAAGCTGGACAATGAGTAAGAAAAACTGAAGAACTGATGCCTTTGAATTATGGTGTTGGCGAAGAATACTGAGTAGACCATCGGCTACCAGAAGAACGAACAAATCCGTCTTGGAAGAAGTACAGCCAGAATGCTTCTTAGAAGCAAGACTGGCGAGACTTCGTCTCACATACTTTTGGACGTGTTATCAGGAGGGACCAGTCCTTGGAGAAGGACAGCGATGGTAAAGTAGAGGGTCAGTGAAAAAGAGGACGACCCTCAACAAGATGGATTGACACAGTGGCTGCAACAATGGGCTCAAACATAGCAAAGATTGTGACGATGGTGCAGACGGGGCAGTGTTTCGTTCCGTTGTACGTAGGGTCACTATGAGTCAGAACCTAACAACAACAAGTGCTCAGTAGCCACCAGCTACCGTACTGAACAGAGCAGACAGAACATTTCCATCATCACAGAAGGTTCTATTGGACAGTTCAGTGGAACGTAAACAATACCACAGAATTGCCGATGCTTTTGCAGGAGCCCTGGAGGAGCAGTGGTTAAGCACTCAGCTGCTAACCGAAAGATTGGCAGTTCGAACCCCCCAGCCGTTCCGCAGGAGAAAGACGTGGCAGTCTGCTTCCACAAAGGTTACAGCCTTGGAAACTTTATGGGGCAGTTCTACTCTGTCCTGCAAAGTTGCTATGAGTCGGAATTGACTCCACAGCAATGGTTTGTTTTTTTTTTTTAAATGCTTTTGCACTCCAGTGTGGGTCAATCATTGGCTGCCCCTGGAGGGAGTGGCGGGAATCTCCCAGGCAGCTCCAGGGAAGCTGCTCTGTCAGTCAAGGGCAATTCCCCAGGGGAAAAACATAGGAGAAGGTCACAGGTATAAGCCCTTAGCCACAGCACTCACAGCATCTCCAAACTCACCATCAGGAGCTGGGTGAAGAACCAACGGTGACTGCTACCCATGGCGTCTAAGCAGGTGTGAGCCGGGATGCAAGGCCCCTGGCAGAGTGGCTAGACAACGCTGCTTCCCGACTGGTCCATACTGGGGATTCAGAATATCCTGGGATTGCTTCTAGGGTGCACCTTTGACCCCATCCATCCCTAGGGTTCAGACATGTACTAACAATGTAGACATAGCTGATGGGCAGTCACTCCAGTGATGTCAGATTGCAGGGGGACAATGAGGCTCAGAGAGCTGCCTCAAAGGGAGAAAAGGAGCTGGCCCAGTAACACCTCAAAAAAGTGACGGAGTGTCAAGCGGAGTGGTGACAACGGACAGAACTTGAAACTGCTGCTGGGACTGTCTCATCAGCCAACCACTGTGCCCTACAAGAAAGAAGATGAGGGTATAAATTATTAAGTTTTCGTCATGCGTCTGTAACACATTTCCTTATTTGTTAGTATCTGTCTACTCTTTGGAGTTGCTGGCTGGTGCAAACAGCAAAGCATTCCGCTACTAACCAAAGGGTAGGTGGTTTGAACCTACCCAGAGGCACCTTCAAATCTGCTTCTGAAAGGTTGCAGCCATGAAAATCCTACGGAGCACAGTTCTACTCTGCACACATGGGGTCGCCAGGATTCAGAACTGACTCCACAGTATCTGGTGTGGTATGGTACTCTGGTTACCTCTTCATATGACATCAATTTTTAATTCCATCTTCTATAGAGACAATACAAGACAATTTAGTCTTTCCTCTTACATAGTTAATAGGAATTTTTTTTTTTTTTATTGCTACGTTAGAAACATTTCCTTTTGCTTCACATACGGGAAATGCTGCATCTCTACCTTTGTCCACACTTCCTTGCTCAGGGTTACTCCTTGTCTGGGGGAAAGTCCTCAGGTGACAGAGCCCTGTGATCTCACTGTCTATGGCCTCCCAGCACCTGCTACTGGAGCAGCTGGTCCAGTCCAGTTTGGGTCCTCATTGTCCTGTTCCACTACCGTGGCTGGTCTGGTCCCTGGGGACGAAGGGTGGATGGAGAGGTACAGCAAGGCAGCTGTGAGCCTGAAGCATAGCCATCCCTGAGCAGGCGGCAAAGGAGCTTCTCATTCATATTCTTCTCCTTGGGTCATAGAATCCAGAGGCTGAACAACACTGACGGTTTTCCATTCATATCCCCTCGGAGCACACCAGCCCAGCTTCAGCTGGCAGCACCTGTGACTCTGTCTGAGGGCCATTCTCTGGCCACTGAAGCCCACTTGGCTCACCTGTACAGCAGGCTGCAGATGTCCAGGAATTGCCTCCTCCCAGCAGCCTTCAACCAATGATGGATGGAAGTTAGTGTATAAGTGGAGCCCTGTTGGTGCAGTGGTTAAGATCTTGGCTGCTAACCAAAAGGTCAGCAGTTCAAATCCACCAGCCGCTCCTTGGAAACCCTATGGGGCAGTTCTCCTCTGTCCTATAGGGTTGCTATGAGTCAGAAGCGACTTGACACCAACGAGTTTTGTTTTTGGAGTGTATAAGTACCCCAGTTCCTCATTTTTTGGTGGGATACCCAAGCATGAGTCTATACTGGCTCCCCATCATGACAGAACTCTGGTCGCCCCCAGTGGTAATTGGCTTGATAAAGCCCATGCCCCTTTAAGAGCTGTCTTTCCTGTCCTGCCTATTTACCCTCCTGCTGGTGTTTCTTTACCTCCCAAGTGAATTACTATCTCCACCTCTGCTTTTGGAAGAAATCAACTGAGACACTTAACGAGGTGTACCAGGGAAGTCATCACTGGGGAATGGATGATGTGGACACGGCCCCGGCAGCCCACCACCCAGCCCAAGGCCCAGGACCATCAGCAGGACACAGATTGCCGCAGCATGCCATCCCTCCCCGCTGCGGAACAGTTAGTTTAACTCTGGAGTGCAGACTCTTAGCCACTTCCTTCCACGTCACTCTGATCATGCTAAAGCTAATACTGTGTTCTCCACCTGCCCGACTCCTCTGCTTATCTCTCAGTTGGTTCAGGACTTGAAGGGAGAATGGGAGGTTATTGATCGAGCCTCCTGAAACCGTTACAACACGCATGGTAGAAAGACAGGGATCCAGGATGAGCAACGCCCAGAGAGATGGGTCAGAGGTTGGTTAGATGCAGCCACTGGCCCAAGGGAAGGCGCAAATCCCCAGACTGCAGAGGAGGAGGCAGAACAGGGTCTGAGGCAGCTTACCAGAGTAAGAATTCAGGAACAGAAATGAGGCAGAAGCCAAATAATAGGAACACAGCGGGATGCTGGGGATGAGATCCTGTTGTCGGTACTAGAGCCCAATGATCAGGACTGGGTCCCCACAGCCAGAATGGAGTAACATCCTCCATGCTGATGCATAGCCTGCAAGGCAGGAACTTGTCAAACACTTCCTTTATCAGGCTGTGACTAGGCACGAGGTCAGCAGACTGGGCCGCAGATGAGGACACGGTAAACCCAGCTGTAGACAGAAAAAAAAAAAAGCCAAGTAAGGAGACAGGCTGGTATTGATGGATTCTGTGATCAAATGTTTAAAAGACTGGCTTATTCTGTCCTTCTTGTCTTGACTGTGCTTTGTCAAGCCGTAGAGGAGAAAATGCCATTCTTTAGACTTTTTTCTCAGGTTTTACAGACATTCGCCTTAGAAGCCCTCCTGAGCAGCTTGTATCTTCCACCTTCTCTCTCAAGTCTCCAGAATTGTGTGGAAGCACCAGCTGCCCTAAATGACTTCCAACTTGTCCTGATCCAGACAGGTCACATCCCAGCTATGCGGGTCAGGGCTCTGTCACTTACAAGTGGCAGAAACCTAACTCAAACCAGCTTCAGCAGAAAGAGACTTCATTGGTTCAGATAACTGGGAAGGATCCTGGGCTAGCTTAGAGGTTTGGAGGAAGAGCCAAAGAATCTAGGGCCCCAGAAACTGGAACCATGAACTCACTGCCACCCGGACTCCCTGCTCTCAGTTCTCAGCAGTTAGTCTCTGCTTTTCCTTGCGTGGTCATCTTAGTCTGTCTTACTGAAGACAAGTCTTCACAACCTCTTTAATTCCCCCAGCAGCCCAGGAGTCACATCACTTCAGCTGAACAATGCCGACAGAAAGAGATTCTTGTATCACTTCCCTGGTGTCTTATCTACTGCTGCTGTAACAGAAATACCACAAGTGGATGACTTTAACAAACAGAAATTTATTCTCTCACAGTTTAGGGGGCTAAAAGTCCGAATTCAGGGTGCCAGCTCTAGGAGAAGGTTCTTGGGGAAGGTCGTTGTCATCAATCTTCCCGTGGCAAGGTGCAATTGATTACTGATGGATTACTTTTGTGTGGCCTTTCTAGCTGTGGTCTTATAACTCCCACCCAGGTGATTGGGCAGGACTGTGTGATAGGGTAATACAAGGGGATTGGTCAGATTTGCCTTAAAAGAGCCAATTCTAGAGCAGAGGGGAGGAGCCCACCACTACCAAGGAAGGAGAGGCTCGCAGCAGGAGACAGCGCTGTGGCCTCCCCCGCTCACTGGGAGAGAAAGCTGAGTGCCTTTGGGCAGAGACTGAGGGCCAGGGAGAGGCATGCCTGCTAGCACAGCTCGGGGGAGGCTATCCTGATGGAAGAACTGTATCCTGAGTGTTCTTGAGCCTGAATTGTAACTGTTACTTCCCTAATAAATCCCCTAATTGTGAGTATGGTAAGTGAGTTCTGTGTGGCCATTGCAATGAATCATCAAACCCAGTAGAGAATGCTGTGGGAGGGACAGTTGGTGTCAGAATTAGTAAAGACGGCAGAGAGAGGAGGCTTGTGTGACCTCTGCCTCATAAGAATCAGCCTTGGGCTGCTAATCTTGATTCTCCTTTCCCCTTGTGAAGTTAGAGGAGGCCAGACATCACCCCCATGCCATTTTTACACCTGGTCTAGGAGCTTCTCAGTGCAGGGACCCCGGGTCCAAAGGACACACTCTGCTCCCAGCTCTTCTTTTTTGGTGGTATGAGGTCCCTCTCCTCTTTGCTTGCTTCTGTCTTATATCTCCAAAGAGACTGATTCTCTATACAACCTAATCCTGTAGATTGTGTCCTGCTTCATTAACATAACTGCCTCCAGTCCTGCCTCATTAACATCACAGAGGTTAGGATTTGTAACACATAGGTAATTACATCAGATCACAAAATGGAGGGCAACCACACAATACTGGGAATCATGGCCTAGCCAAATTAACATACATTTTTGGGGGACACAATTCAATCCATAACACCTGGGAAGGACACTGATTAGCCCAGCCTAGATCTTATGATCATTTCATGGACCAATCACTGTTGCCAAGAGAGATGATATATCATTTAGGAGGAACGTTTTCAGCTTCATGTAACAGAACACCTAACTAGTAATAGCTGGAACAAGAAAGTTGTTTTGCTCACATAAAAATTCTGGAGGTAGATAGGTACTGGCCCAACCATGTCAGGTTCTGGATCACAGTCTCTGCTACTCTCTTGTTTTTTTTCCCCCTCACAGTCACAAAACGTCTGCAGCTGCCCCAAGCATCACATCATCATACAACCATGTTCAAAAGTAGAAAAAAATGGGGCAGCACAAGGGCAGATAATTTATTTTTATACGTTTTCCTCTAATCACACAGGAAAATCTTTCCCATAGCCCCTTGAAGTCTTTTTCTTGTCTCTCATTGGCCAGAACTGGGTCACATGCCTGCCCCTAGACCAGGAACAGATCTTTTCTAATACTAGGTATCTGCAATTAAGGGATCATTGAAGGATCTGTTGGCAAGGAAGAATGGGACGAAAGGATTTGGAATAGGCAATTAAACATATCTACAACATATAAGACACAATAATAGCCAGCCTGGGTCACACACCCAACCATTAGCTAAGGAAAGGGTGGTTCCCCGAAGAAAGAGTGTCAGCAGGTATAAACAGCGTCTGTGAGCTACACAAGGGAACTGAGACGGTATGCAGGGGAAATTGCTGAATTGCAGCCCCCAATCCCTCAGAAATCATGGAGAATAGAACTGATAAATGAAGACAAGATTGTCCATCTTAGTTTTAAAAACTGGAAGAGCTAACTTCTGCCCAGTCAAGATTCGTAAGTAAGATATCAACTCCCAACCAGTTCTGTAATGGGATGTAAAGTATCTGGTCTATAAGCTCTTGAAGGAGACAAAGCACCAAGAGCCAGCAATATTCATCTACAAATCTCATCAGACTCACTCTATTACCACTTTTTGATAGAAAGACTAGATTAGTAAAAATGGGGACTACATCCAGACTGCAACAAGGCATTTGGCTGGATAACTATTTTTACTAAGGATGCTGGACAGCAAGACGGGAATTGGATGTGGTGACCCCTGAGGCCCTTTCTGTCCTTGAAGTCTTTGATGCTAATGAGTCTCCAGACTGGGGTTTGGATTTCAGGTGCATCATTACGACATCGTCTTGGTTCTCTTTTTACCTTCTCCAGTTCCCGTCTATCTTCTGCCCTGGCCAAAAACTCAGAGCAATTACTACAATTTTAGTTTTAGATAATTAATTATTGATAATACTGTCTCTGCACTGTGTTCACCCAAGAACCTAGTTGTAAGGCTACCATCAGTATGATTTACTTCACCAGCTTAGGGTAGAAATATGCTCAGAGCTGTTTAATATTTCCAATCAACTTCACCCGAGACACAGGATCTACCCCCACCAGCGCCTTGACCCCTTTGCTGGACCAGGGTCAACAGACTAGACTTTTCCTCCTCTCATGCTGAGTAAAAAGACAGTAAAAATCAGTGGCTACCATAGGTTCAGGGGAGAGGAAGAATGAATGGGTGAAGGACAAGGCATTTAAAGGGCAGTGAGACTATTGTGCATGAGACTATTGTACTGTGGACACATGACATTATGCACATGTCAAAACCCATAGAACTGTACAACACAAAGAGTGAACCCCAATATAAACCACAGACTTTAGATAATAATAATGTATCAATACAGGGTCTCTATGAGTCAGAATCAACTCGATGGCAATGGGTTTGGGTTTTTTTTTTTTTGGATTGGTTCATCAATTGTAACTAATGTACCACAGTCATGCAAGATGTCAGTAATAAGAGCAATTACAGGTGCAGGGAAGAGAGGGGATATATGGGAACTCTCTGCACTTAACTGTGCAATTTTTCTATACTGAATCTGCTCTAAAAAATAAAGTGTATTTTAAAAAAGTTTAACATTTAGATCAAGGATTCTATAGAAAAATCCTTATCAAAAGGGGGAAAATGTGGAACAGAATGTAAAATTGTCATGGAATCCAGACTTTCTGGAGCCATTGAGGCCAATGACCCCCTGAAACTATTACCCTGAGGAAAAATTTAAACTTTGAATGGAACCTATCCCCTGAAGTCATCTTTGAACCAAGTGATAGTTTAGCCTAATTGGAAAAGAATATCTGCCTTAAACATTATACTCTTTTAAACAATTGTCTATATGTGATCAAACTGACAACAGCAACTTGAAGAATAGATGAGAGACTTAGGGAGGGCAGTGAGTTTGTGTTGGGGGCGGTGAGTTTTGTTAATGGTGGTGCAATAGTTTGGGAAAAGTTGTCGAGAAAAGTGGCACAACTTGAAGAATGTTACCAACGTCACTGAATTGTACATGTAGAAGTGGTGTACATGTTGTGCATATTTTCACATACACACCAAACAATTTTCTAAGTTTAAGAAAAAAATGCTACCTTTGAAACATTTAAAATAGTGCCTGGTACATATTAAGGGTTCAATAAGTGTTAGATAAAATTAGCTATTATTGCGCTTATTATAATTACAATTATTTTGTTACGTGATTTTTGTCTTTTCTGTTAGTGTGTAAGCTTCATGAAGGCAGGGACCACTTTTGTCTTGCTCGTTATTGAGTCCCCAATGCCTAGCACAGTGCCTGGCATGTAACAGGCAATCAGTAAATACTTTTGGAAAGAATGAATGATGTTATATTGGCCCATGTGACAGAGATTGCACTAATTAATACTTTTCAGTATAAGCCTCTATCTTGAGACATTGGTTCATATCCATTTCTCCTGAGAGAGATGTCTCCTTTCAGTGTGTTGGAGAAATCAGTTTCTGAGCTTGAAGACTATGAGCTCTGGTAAATTTTGCAAGGTAATTAAATGCTACCTGTTATGGATTGAATTGTGTCCCCCCAAAAATATATATTATAAATCCTAACCCCTATACCTGTGGTTATAATCCCATTTGAGGATGGGTTTTCTTTGTCATATAAATGAGGCAGCATTAGTGTAGGGTATGTCTTAAGTCAATCTCTTATGAGATGTAAAAAGAGCGGACTGAACAAGCAAGCAACCAAGCAAGCAGAGATGGGGGAAGATAGATGCTTTGTTTCATGAAGATCACGAAGGAGCCAAGGAACAGAAGCTGAAGAGAGACAGGGACCTTCCTCCAGAGCTGACAGAGAAAGAAAGCCTTCTTCTAGAGCTGGCACCCTGAGTTCGGACTTCTAGCCTCTTAAAGTGTGAGAAAATAAATGTCTGCTTGTTAAAGCCACCCACTTGTGGTATTTCTGTTATAGCAGCGCTAGATGACTAAGACACACCCTGGGAGGTCTCCTGGACAACAGCCTGCTCTGCTTCCTTGGATGGGCACTTAGACTACACTGGTGATGCAGCATGTGCCTTTCCATGTTTGAGTTTCTACACCGAGAATATGTTTTAATAGTATTTTATTCTGTTGTTGTTGTTGAAAATATACACAGCGGAACATACACTAATTCAGCCATTTCTACATGTGACATTGATTACATTCTTCAAGTTGTATAACCATTCTCACCCTCCTTTTCGGAATTGTTCCTCCCTCATCAACATAAACTCACTGCCCCCTAAGCTTCCTATGTAACCTTTGAGTTGCTGTTGTCAATTTGATCCCATATAGTTCTTTAAAAGAGCACAATGCTCAAGGTGGACACTCTTTACTAATTAACCTAAACTATAGGGTTGCTATGAGTCAGAAATGACTCTACAGCAATGGAAAAAAATTGTATGGTTTAAAGAAGTCTTCCAGGGATATTTTTGGTTTACCGTTTAAAGATTCTCTCAGAGCAATAGTTTCAGG